ATATTTTTTTTCTCATTTCTCCGTCCGTTGAAATCGTGGGAACGAACGATCGGTCGAAACACGAGAGCGCTCGATGTCGAAAACGTGCTCGATTCATCGACTTCGTGATCCCGAACGAGAGCGAATGAACGATGAAAGCGTCCGCGGTGGCAGCCGCGGATAAATTCGTATCGATTCGTCTAGCGCATCGGGGGCCGTGATTGACGAGGTTCTCTCGTCAAGGATTATGCGGTTCGTTGGTCGGAACGAACAGCTTTGAGGCATGAGTGCGTAGACAAATATATAGGTATAGCCCGGCGAACGGATACGCCGATGGACACTTCCCAAACCGTGAAACCTCAAAAACCACCCCGTAGGCAACTCGTCCGACAAATTATCGCTCTCTAAATGAATCTACGTCTCGAACGATCGATAACGTTGCTTTCAAATAGAAAACCACGCTCTGATCTTCATTTAGAAAGTGTTGGAGAGTGGTTTTGAAAATTAGTTTTATCGAAGAAATCATGTACCTAATATCATTTTCTGTCGAATCGAAAAAATTATCGAAGGATGATCGATTTTCGTTGATTGTATTAAAGAAATGGAAAAATTTCTGCTGAAAATCCGTGGAAAATGGTACAGCCGGCGAAAGGAGGACACGATTGACGGAGAAAAGGAAACGAATCTCCGCGGAGGTGGTCCGTGAACCAAGGTGGATACCAGAAGGGCACCGAAGGACGCCGAAGGAAGCATGGAGTCCTGCATTGGGCGCGGATAACTTTTTTGCAGCGTGAAATGGCCCAGAGAATGTCATCCAATGAGGGTGAAGTAAAGGGAAAACAAGTAAAATAATGATAAAAGGCGGAGCCCGCGGCGTGATTTGATTGGTCGAGATATCGCCGGCGTTCGAGTCAACCCGCGAAGAAGAGGGGGTTGTCCTCTCCTTTCTCTCTCTTCGTCTCTCTCTTTGACCCCGTATATCTCTCTCGTTTTCTCCTTCCTCCTCTTTCGCTTCTATCCACCACACCTTCGTCCTGCTTTTCCCTCTCGATCCTTTTCTCCTCTCGTTCCTCCTGCTACGTGCACACACATACATACTCGCACACATCCGACATCGGCTTACTTTATTCTCCTCTCTACGTGGGTCCATGCCCCACGATCGTGTCCTCACTCTTGCCAGAGAACCCATCTCCTCCCTTTCCCTTCTCTACGCTCCTTCTACTTATTCTTATTCTTCTTCTTCTTCTTCTTCTTTCGAGTCGTCGTCGTCGTCGTCATCTTCGCCGTCGACTCGTTTCTTGCTCCTTTTCGTCCACCCGCGACAACTCGAGTATACTTTGCTTCGTATAAACAGCTCCTCGCGGTGACTGTTCTGTGAATTATGGCTTTCGTTTCGAGTAATTTCGACGAAACGGAGAAAACAGAGTTTTCAGCTGGAATAATTCTATCATTGTTTCCTCGTCCATGGTTGAGAGACAAATAATATCAAACTTCGCGTTCAACACCCGCGATGTCTTTAGGTATAAATGGAATATTTGGATAGAGAAGGATTAATAAGATTGGTAAACAGGAGAAGGATAGAAAAGAGTTACCAGCCGCGGAAACCATATGCGTCCGAAAGGCGGAGGTGAAAGAAATGATTAGCGTAGCGAAAATTCGATGGCCGTCACGTGTTGCGAGGGGTGGCGAACGTTGGTTTCGTGGCAGAAAAGTATATTGACTCGTGATACGCCATCTGTGCGAAGGAAGCAACCCTCGCGGTGGCGTTATTGGGAAAATTAATAAGCCCGGTGATCTCGCGGTAGGTCGAAATGGGAAGTGGTTAATTCTGGCTTTACCCATGGACCCGATGTTGGCGGATTAGAAACCTTTCCAAACGAATGGAAATTGTTTGCACGGGGGGAGAGAGAGAGAGAGAGAGAGAAAGAGTGAGTAGAATAGAATGTCGAGGGGTTGTTGGCCCATGTTCTCGAGACCAGGTCTTCGTGGTATCCTAAAGAAGCATCGGTCATAAATTATTTCCCTTTGCCAGCTTGGATGAATTCAGTTGCCGTAATCTCGAATGCTCATTATGGCGCATTAAGCGGGACAAGTTCTCCAAATAAGCATCGAACGTTTGCCGATTAATTGCCACCGGTAATTTGTCTCTACTCTGCTGATTTATCACCGTTCTATCCATAATGTATTCTCTCCTTGTTGGATGCAACTTTTTCACAACCGCAGGGGAAGAAAAAAATCATCTGGACACGTGTTTAACGGCAAATCGCCTCGGCATCTCGACGTTAGACGAAACAATTAACAGATGATTTCAATCTACGAGGTCGTTCCACGAGTACCATCGTTTTGAAAATTAATTATTCGTAACCTTAACAGTTCGAACGCCTTACGCGGCGCTTGAATTTCTAATCGTCCCCGTTTATATATCTCTCTTTTTCCCTAAAACCCATAGACGGAAGATCGCGCGTGTCGTCGAAGGGCGCAAACCAGGTCCTGGAACAGCACCGAAAATTAACGCCACCGCGAATCAAGACGACAATGTGATTCATCAGTTAAATCCGCGTGCATAATCCTTTACACACCGTCCGAACTCCCCTCCCCCGTACGCTAACGTACCGACGTAGATGGGGACGAAGGACGATGGAGAAACGGGGTTGACGATGGTGCGGCGGTTGGTTCTGTCAGCAGGGACTACGAATTATAATCACAGTTGTGGTTCATGCGGCCAGAGAGGGTGAGAGGTATAAGGGAGGTGTGGATGGAGGTGGACGATATAGGAGGAGGTGGACGACGACGACGACGTTCGTCCGCTCGAGGGGATGGAAAAGGGTGTATTTACCCGGGAACGGTATACACCGGCGCCACCGTGGACGGACCTAGATGGAAATCTGCGGCATTCAGAGGCACTGGCCAAGAAAATTGGCTGACAACATTTCGCACGGACGTCGAATTGCCGATCCACTCCCCTTCCTGGACAGAAGACCTACGATATTTACGCCGGACGAGCCTGACGCGTCGTTCTTCTAATCGCTTCCAACCAATTCGTTCATCTTCCCTTAGCAATTCACGGATTTGCTTTTATATTTAACCCTTCCCTAATTCAGTTAAATTTTTTTTACCTCAGAATAAATAAGAATTTCTGCTATTTGAAAAATTCAATTTAAATCAGTTCGAACGATTAAAAGATTTTCAAAAGAATAAATCCGGATGAAAGAGAAACGTGACAGGCTGGTACGCGCGGAACGGCACGTTTATTTCGGCAAAAGGCTTGGAGGCGTTTCCAAAGAGGAGCCCTAATGATCGCCTCGTGCCGACAACCGTCGAATCCCAGCCAAATAAATCCAGCTTGATTGAATCATTGTTAAGCGAAACCGCGTTAAATACCCGTGAAATTAACCCCGAACGATCCGTGAGCGGCACGCGATCACTGATTGGCTCGAGGGTATCGCCTTTAAAGTGCCATTACAGGGCGCCTCGTTCTCTGACTCGAAAACCATTGATTAATGACTTGTCCGCCACCGAGCCATCATCTCTTGCCGCACGATTTTCTTGCCAACCTTTACCCATCATTCGAACGATGTTAAAAATGAACCTTGAAATTTCGTCTTTCTCTTCGATACAAAAATCGCTTGTCCTCGATTCTACTCTATTTGTCGGTTTGTTACATTGTTGTAATAAATGAGAGAATACGATGAATGGAAATAGAAGCAAAGATCGTGGCAGGGTTAAGATGACTTTGACAGTGAGTCGATGGACGGACATTAGGGTGATAGAGGGCGGACATATGGGTGCACCATGTGGTCACGGGCGTATCGTTCGACGAAAGCAGAGATTGGAACCCCTGGCAAAATCTACCGCAAAGAGGTGACGGGGATACAGAGGGCCACAGATTCAAACGGATCCGACGGCGGCTAAACGCTAGCCGCAATTTGTAGCAATTTGTTAAGTAGCCGGCCAGAACATTACCTATATTGCGTTTACTCCCCTTGACCGGAAGATATACGGGGGTACCGTTCAGATTTATCGTTTCTACTGTTAGAAACATACCGGGGAGGGGAAAGGAATCGCGATCGTACGTCACGCTCTTTCTTCTTGTTAACGATAAATTCTTGAAAATTTCCTTTTACCGAATAAACACCAGGTTCTTTTTAAAAAAAACACACATTCTAGTAGCAGTTTGTCGAACAAAAGTAAGTTCCTCGAGCTTAAGGAATGAAGTGCAGTAGGAAAAAGGAATCCAATGTAACGCTAGGATTCCGTGAAATCGTGGTCGGGGTTTAGGGAGACAATTTAAATCGTAGGTAAACGTCGGGGGAACTCGTTTTATCCTCCCCGGCAAGCTTATCGAAGTCTCCTCTGTCTCTTCCTCTGTGGAGGAGGACTGGGTTGGACTCGGAAGGAGGGCGAAGATTCGAGACGAAGAGCGAAATGACTTCGGTCTTTCGTGGATGCTTTTAGTCGATGAGTTTCGCTTCCCTACATCCCGTTTCGCTTTCGTCTCGTTCTGTAGCATCGTTGTCCTGGCCTAACCCAGCTTTCTCATCCATATGTAACAGTCGCCTGGTATTAATGACGATGGGGTGGGAGGTGGGGGAGGGACAGAAAGAGAGAAGGACGGAACGCGAACATGTCAGCTTCTTTATCCTAGAAGCTCTCGTTCCCCTTTTTCCAATGCTTACACGGTATTGCGGTTTTATCGCTGCCTTTTCATTATCTGATAAATAGATTGGAATTATTTGTTCGCCGTTTGTGCGGTCGTTGCATTACGTTGCCTGCCGATTGCCAATATGTTACTTCGAACGATCGTTCCTTTAGAGGACGATGGAAATTCGACAGGTTTTTGCTTGATAAATGGAACGTGGAAAATATAGAACAGATACGATTCAACGTCCCTAGGACGGGTAAACAATATTACGTACCCGAATCCCATCTCTATTCATTTATAATTCGGTCGCGTAACGTTTACATTCGAATTTCTCTTGAAATTCATACACGAAAGTATCCTTCTTTCATTTTGCTTGCAGGTAGATGAGCCATTACGCCGAGAAGAAGAAGTTTATCTATGATGGTTATGAAGGTAAGCTCATAAATTACGCGTAACGGTTCAGACGGGACTAACAAAGTCACGTTCCAAGAGACACGCATTCTGTATCATTATTCTAGAAATAAATGTTCGGTGCGCATATGAGCATTAAATTATACTCTGTCTGACAATTTGGTCGAATAAAGAAGAGAAAAGAAAAAAAAGATTACCGACATCCGTCTGTCGATTGTTTTTCTTGGAAGACCACCCTGCACCCTTTCGAATTAAGATAATAATTTAACGGATGATTAAGTATCAATACCATCGATGCAGGTATCAAAATTTACGTTGACGCGTCTGCTGCGGGTCGAACATTCGATGTGATCGTCGATAATGGTTTTTAAAACCACGAAAAACCAGGCGCGACTTCTGCAGGAATAGAAATCGGGGCGCTAGTGAGCGCGGACCTCGGAGAGAGTCCATGTTAAATAAAGACGAATGTCCAGTGTAAAAGAATACGATACGCCCAGGGGAAAAAGATAAAAAGAAGCGTATCCAAGGCGTCTCTCCTAGCGCCTTTCCTAAGAAAAAGATTTCTGAATAGCCATCGGTCGCTTTTATAAACGACTCGGACATATGTCAGAATTAATCACAATGAGCGGCACAGGTTGAAGAGGACAGGCACCGCGGTCCAGGCGGCCAGTCCTTCCTTTTTTAAACGTTCGTAAACGTGTGCTTGATAAAAAGCAGGCAATCGGTTAACCTTTTTAAGCGAGGCGCGACAACGGCCACTTTACCTGCAGCTCGGTGGCACTTGGACAGAGGCGTCGACAATGAGATGAAAAGACCAGGAAGAGAATCGAAGGGGATACCGGACAGCGTACGCGCGTTTGTTCGGCTCAATGCTGCTCATTCGTCGACATCAGTTACGGTCTCTCGATGCTTGGACTTGTCTCTTCGAAGGAATTTTCTTTAAAAACCTTGCATCATTTTTTTCCGCCTCGAACCGCTTCGAAATCGTCGCTTTATACATCGAGGGTTTTGCTCAAAAATTTGAAACGCATCGTTGAGATCAGAGATATTCGACATCTTATTTTCGGAGAAGTACTCGAGCACCACTTGCACGGAACTTTTCATTTGGCAAGTGACATAAGGTTCCATTAACGGCAATGTAGGATCGATTCGACGCGTGCTTCTGGTAAATGCTCCCAGTGCGGCAGTTAGTCCCGTGTAAATTGTCTTCCTTCTCCGTCTCGTTTTTACGCGAGCGTTAACCGTACAAATTACACGAACGCAGGACCCCTCCGCCCATGTCCCCGAATATCAGGCCGAATGTTCGTATGCCCCGCGGGTTGCTCGACGACGAGGAGGAACGAGCGAACGGCGAATCGAACGAAACGAACGGAGAGAGAAGGATCGAGTTAAGATTCGAACATGTGGCATCATTTGTTACGTGCAAAGTGGGGTTCGCCTGTTGGGGCATGGGTTATCTAAGCTCTCGCTTAAGCGCGCCCACGTAACCGGAAAACCGTGGAACCGGTGAACCGTGTAAACGACTCGACGACTCTGCTGTCACGGTGTCCGAAAATTACGAGCAAAAAGCTTTTCCTCTAAGTTCGAGGAGGCGATTAATTTTGAAAAGAAGTTTGATCCCAGGAAGGAACGAAAGAATCGGCGTTGATCGGTTGACAGAGGCACGGACACTCGATGGGGTTCTCGGTTTCCGTGGACATATGGTCAGCCATGGCTTGCCGTGACAAAAAAGCGCTACAGAAACGGCGACAGAAGTTGGGAGTGTCGGCGAGCGATATATCAGGGCTTAAACTGTCCCGTCGTAGCAGGCATGTCCTACCAGCCTGCTCCTCCGCACCCTGCCTCGCTCGCTGGATGCTCGACTGGTTAGCTAGTTCGCTGGTTGGCTGGTGCACGTATGGCATTGCGTTGAACAGGGGTGCGGGCATTAGTTAATAGCACCGCTCTGGCTCGATCGGGGACGCGTTAATGCAAAAGGGAAAGAGAAGATCCTCTGTGTGCCGGATAAAAGGTGGCCAGCTAACCGAATGCGGTTTCCAATCTGTTGGGTTTTTACGCCTCGAGTCTAATGGGGATGATTATCGAGGGACGATTTCACCGATTTCCGACAAAGTATTTCGCCGATCGAACGAACGAAATATTTCGAGGCTCTTTTTCGCGAACCGAGAGAGGCAATTTGCGAGGGTCGTTGAAAAATTCGCCAGCGTAAAGGTAAAAGTAATCAGAAACAGAGTCCACTTCTTGTCGTCGAAGAAACTTCGTTACGCATTCAGCTTGCCACCAGGATTATCATATCCGGCGTCCTTTGACGGGCTTTCTCGATCCCCCTCCCTCTCTCTCGACGAAAGACTGGAAAAATATAAAAACTCGAAGAAGGATCACCGACGCCTACGCGTCTACGCGGACCAGCTACCAGAGAAACGTACGACGACTTTCAGTTAGAAGAGCAAAGCTCATTCTGGACGCGGGACGAATAAAAATCGTTTGAAGTATCGCTAGCTGCAAATTAACGCATAATCGTCAAACGGTAATGAGCGACGCCGTCCTCGGTCTGACGTAAACGAAGCTGACCCGTCGAGTGTTCCTCTGTGATCCGCTCTTCCTTTTGCTTTCGGGAAACTTTGATTATTTTTATAATAACCCCTTGGTCTACGAGTCGGCGTCGCGACGTGGTTGCCTGAAGGGTAGCTGCTCTTTTCACGGCCATCTTATTCCATCTCCCTCTATTTAGAAATCCTTATCAAAGTTCACCATTGATCGTGTATCTTAATCAGAAAATTCTGTTAATTAATCAGCGAAAGGCACCTGCTCTCGCGAAGGTAACGAGGGCAGAACGCGTGTCTAGACGTCGACGAACGTGTTCGGTCGATCTGATCGTCGATCAGGATTCAACGAAGCGTAAAGAACGGACGAGCGTTTAAAAGCTTTTTGCAGCGCCGTTGAAAGAGAAAGAACGAAGGGAAAAAGTAGAGAAAGAACGGTTGCTTTTTCCACGGTGCTTACGCAACCCTTGCTCGATGCCAGAGCACGCGGGTATCAATTAATTCCGTCCGTGGATCTTGTACGAAGAGGAATCGGGCGAGCATTCTCGGTGAACTACGCCTCGACCGACGTCCAGGCTCGTTTTCTCCGCTGACGGCACGTGCCGTGCACAATGCCCACCGAGTCACCGTGTCGTTCACCAATCGTCCACGATCGACATGCTCTCGCGCCCTTTTCACCCGCACGCCTACCCTTACACGGAATACCGAAGGCAAACAACAGCACCGATACCAAAAACCATTTATTCCCCGATTCTTTCCTCTCCTTTTGTCGCCGGTATCGACCGATCTGTTTGACTTTGTCTTCTTTTCGTCGCAGACGTGGACCATGGGCGGACTCTGTCCCACGCGATCGTCCAACGTTTTTATTACCCTGCTCTTCTCGCTTGGAAATTAATGAGATCGCGTGACGGTGTGATTTTCATCTATCGATAACCGAAAGGGTTAAGCTCCTCCTTTCGAGGACATCGACACAAGTTTTCCTGCTATTCTCACCGCATTCCTGTATTCGTGAATTTTGAACGGTCTTGAATTCTCATCGGTTTCTTCGCCCGACAAAATACAGGGTCGTCTAACGAACGATCGCCTTGTTTGGTCCCCGTCCAAAGAAAAAGGTGCCTCCATCTGCATTCTCCGTTCATCGGAGATACTTTCCTCTTTGTCGCCGATCCGACCGAACGATTCGATGGATTTGAAGAAACAAACCTCGGATCCTGTTTACGGATACAGGGGGAGGAGGAGAGTTCCATTAGCGATTTACATTTAGCTGTCCGTTCGATTTCCGAGCAAAATCATCGTCGCTCGTTCGTCACGATTGGTCAAGCCGTCGAGAGGCAGTGATTTGCGGTTCCTATGATGGAGAACGGAATCGACGCGCTTCCCTTTCCATCCTCGAATAGGGAAAAGGGAGCAATTGTGGAGGGTTTCGATCATCTGCGTGTTATCGCGATGATGAATCGTGGAATCGAGAAACGGATGTTGCAACCGAAAAGTTTCTGCATCGTTCGCGATACATCCGAGGCGAGGAATAAGAAGAAGAAAAGCCGGAAAAAGAATCTTTCGTTCGGAAAAACCGAAGGCGTGGTTGATGGATGAAGATCGATGGGGTGTACGCGACGCATCGTACACCACGTCGCGTCCTTGCCTTCCTCCACCTTATCCTTCCACCCTCGCGATGTCGTTACACCTCATAACCTCCCCTGTCCGACTTAATATCCTTCGACACGTGCGACGATCCTCCATGGAAAGACGAACCGCAGGTGCTTCCTTGAATTTACTCCACGGCAGGAGAATTTATTTCAACCCTTTCCGCACGTCGAAACATCCGAAGTATTCTCGCTCCTTTGAAGTACGATTACAAGATGAAATCAGATATCGTTTGACAGTTTGTATATCGATGGAAGACACGCGAGATGGTGTGAAAAAGGTGCATAAATTGCGAAAGTTGCCGGCGAAACGGAAGAAACCACCCAAGGGAATGGCGGGTTGGAGGATGAACGCGGTGAAAATCGAGTTGCCTTTTCTTTCTCGCCTCCGTATGCTTTCGTTCAAGTTTTTCGATGAACCACAGTTTCAACGACTTTGAATCCATTTGCGAAAGTATGGTCGTTTCCGGGCAAACTTTTCCACCCCCGTTTCTCCTTCATCCGATATTTTAATTTACGAGCATTCCAGTAACCATAGATTGCATTTCATTCTTAAACGCCCCATAAAATGAACAATTTCATCGAATTCTTTTTTTCAATTAACTGTTATAGAGACATTAGTCGAAGTATACTTGATCCCATCCCTACTTTACGGGTAGGAACGATCAACGAGGATCTAAATCCACCAAAGAGATCCCAGCATTCAGGTCGAGAAAGCTGTCAGAACGCGATTATTGATGAGTGGTATTGATGATCGTGGTGAAAAGAGCGCTGACCGCTGTCTTTGGCATCGGAATCGCGCCGCTAACGCGATCATAATACCGGCTCTTTCCCT